TAATTGTTGTTTATTGAAATGCTGCTTCTGTTCAAATAGGCAGCTTTTATACATCTCGTGGGTCAAGCTTTTCTCGGTTACTACTTTGGAAACCCCTTTCGCCTTCTTTAAATTGTGATCGGTAGTTAAGATTGAATACATTTTCGGTCTGATACAAACGGCTTCTAAAATTGTTTTGCCACCAAATTCGTCTTTCATTTTGCCTATAACTTTTTTATTTTTGACGCTGTAAAGCGGGTGATTTGGTGGGTAATTACTAAAGTCAAATAAATTACGCTTTTCGTTTAGGTAACCAGTTAAATCGTCGGAGCTTCGCTCGATCTGAACTAATAGAGAATCAGTGTCTGTGTAAAGTAAATTTACTTTTTCACCAAAAGTTGATTTTAGTTCGTTGTAGTTGAAATCGTGCATTAAAGTTTTTGAAATATCGAGAATACTTACACCGCAATATATTGGCTTATTTAATTTTGTTTTGGTTCGGTAAATCTCCACAAACGAAAGAGAACAGTCCCCAAATGCACCGTCGATTTGTAATTTGGTTTATAAGTTAATTTTTTGTATTTGGCGGCGTCTTGTTCGTCTCCCAATAAATGGCCGTCAATTCGATATCTAACATTTTCCATCGTCTTGCCAAAGACCGAGTTATTCATCAATTTGAAAAAGTCTTTCTCAAAATCATTTTTTGCTTTCTTGCGCAATTTTGTGTTTTTATCGATGTAGCTTTTCATCCACGGCTTTTGACGAAAACGCAGTACCCGGTGAACTTCTTTGATCCACAACCCTAGTTTGAGATATTTTTGCAATGTACGATAATGAACCACATATTTTTCTTTGGTGTTGAGAGTGGCCACTAGTTTGTCTACTGAAGTCACTTGCTCGCCATTACCAATTAAATCCTGTTGGTAACTCGAAAACCATTCGTTCGGCACCAACATATTTTCGGGTGCAAGTGGAAAGTCATTATGTTTGTCATGGTGACGTTCCGGGTAATCCATAGTGATCTCAAACATGTAACCGTAGTCGTCAGTTAGTCGCAACTCTTGGATGTAATAATAATTAAATTTTGCTAAGTCTGTTTCCCAGGTAAATTCCCCTACGGGTAGATATTTGCTCATCGCCCAGCCGTATAAATTATTTGCGTCTAGGTACATGATCTGTGACTCTGGCTTATTGGGGTCGTAATCGGGTAGTTCTGGATTATTGGCCTTTGCATATCGCTTTGCACCCACGCTTGAGATACCACCTCTTTTTGCCCTTTCAAAGAACAAGTGCTTGTCGATGTCTGTCAGTAGTTCCAGTTGGATACCCGAATGCTTTAAGAGGGCGTCCCCCGACAGGCCTGGCGCCGTATAATAGTTGGCCGGGTCTAGGCCGTAGTTCTTCTTGCATACCTTCCGGAAGTTTTCAAATACACCCGCTAGCAATAGTGCGTCCGTTTCCACATATAGGTCGTGGTAGTCGCCTAGGTTTTGGCAATTAAATTTTTCCCATACTGTCTCCGCGCGAGCATATTCTTGCTCGGTTATCCCTCCCTGCTTCAGAGAACTATAGAAAGCGTCTACTGGTGGGAGCCGTCTCTCTTGGAACCGATCAAAGGAGTCTATATATTCATAGGGGTAAATTCCCTTTTCCAATAGTAAATGAGTCCTCCCTTCGGTCGTACTCGCTGCGCTTTTATTATTTGTAAACCTTTCGCAAAGTAAGTTAAAATCATCGGGCGAACAATTTTTAACCAACCGATCTAAGGATGCCGCCATAAAATGAAAGGAGTCTAAAAATCTGAGCT